ATCCAGTTGTACAGAAACACTACTCCAATTGTACAGAAACACTACTTTGAAAAAATGTACACCCACCTGTGTTCATTGCAGCATTATTGGTAATAGCCAAGATAGAGAAACAACCTCAATGTCCATAAATAAATGAATGGATAAGGAAGATGTGGCGCATACATACGATGGAATATTATTCAGCCATAGGAAAGAATGAAGTCTTGCCATTTTCAGTAGCATAGGTGGATCTTGACAGCATTACCGTAAGTGAAATAAGTCAGAGGAAGACAAATACTGTATGACCTCACTTATATGTGGAATATAAAAAAATAAAATAAATGAATACACAAAACAGAAAGAGGCACATAGATAAATGGAGCAAGCTGATGGCTGCCAAAGAGGGGAAGGGTGGGAATTTTTTAAAATTTTATTTTACTACAAGAAACTGGGAAAATAGGGCTTTTTTTCAACAAATGGTGTTATCTGAAAATAAATAAAAAATTAAAACCTTTCTTTCATCTGATATGGAGGATTAACTCAATCCTTAGTCTTGTCTTGGTAAATTGAACCAATTGTTTTCAGTGTTCCTTATAAAAGAGTTAAACAGGAGTAATAGCAGCACCCGCCCTGGGAGCTTGCGGGTGGGTGCGGGGGCGGCTTGTTGGAGCACCGGATCACTTGGAGAATCTGACTGCTCCTGAGGAAATTCCGCCCAGAGAAACACAGACGTATGCACCCATCTTGCCTCAGTTTCAGGGCAATCACAGGCCTCTGAGGCCAAGGCTCAGGCCTCAGGTCAAGAACCTCGGAAAGCAAAGATCACTAAAGGCTATGGGTCTCTGGGGTGGGAACAGCCAGCAGCCACGCAGCACGTTTTTGCCTAAGGGTCCCGATGTCTGCTTGCTTTGGAGTTTCAAGTCAGCGGCTGTTTTTAGCTTGGCTATATGTGGCCAGGGGAGGAGTGAGGGCTATAGATAGGCAGGGGAGGCGTGCCAAGAGGTTTACAGCGGGGTTTAGGAGGCCAGAGCCCCCTGGCCGGTACCACCTTCCCCTTCCCACCGGGAAACGAGAGCTTACCCTCCAGCCAGAGACAAGGACGGAGGGGAGGGCGGGCCTGTGCAGTGCGATTGGTGGGCGCTTCCATGAAGATGCCGGGTCAAGTCACTTTAGAACTGTAATTTTCAAACTTTTTGAATACACTTGACACACATAAACACAGGCATTTTTACACACACACACACACACACACACACCATACCTCTCTCCAACTGAGCAAATATTTCAGGAAACAATGCTTGATCTTATTCTGTATGAAACCCTGTGATATTTTCTATTCTATTCTTTCATTTAAAAAAAACAAAACAAATGCAGGTCATGACCCACTAAATTGATTTTGCCACCTATCCCTGGGTTTACACCTCCAGGTTGGAAAACTGCTGCTTTCTTTGGTTTAGAGCAGGCACCTACAACGTTTGACTGCCAGGTAAGGTGGAGAGTGGAGGAAATGGGACACACGGTCCCTTTGATCATTACATCTCAAAACTGTGGACAACATCCAAGTTTCAGCTTGATCTCTGGCTGGATGGCAAGTCTTGGACGTCCTGGCTTTGTACACTCTGTTCTCTCCACCTGGAGCACTCTTCTCCCGCCCTTTTCACCTGGCTCCCTCCAGGCTTCAGAGCCGGGCCTGCTGCTTACTCCAGGAAGCCTCCCTGAATGCCTAAGTCTGGCTAGATGCTTGCCTCTTGCTCCCTTAGGCCCCAGTAGGGACTCCCCTGCCTGGCACCCAACACACTGTAGTACAATTGCATGTTAGACTCTCTGGAAGGCAGGCACCTTTTCCATTCTGTTCATTTCTATACTCTAGCCCCCCATCACCCAATGTAGCGTCACACTCGCTTCATTACAGTCACTCGATAAATTTATTTATTGAATTCATGATAGTTAATACTAATAAAAGCAACTACCATTGATTGAGTGTCCATTTATCCCATGGGAAATCTTAGGAGAGATCAGGATAGGTTCATTCGATGAGTAAGGAAACTAAGGCTCTAAGAGATTAAATAGTGTGATCGAGCCAGGATGTGTAATAACCCAGGGCTATCTGACTCCCAACCATTTCTAATCACAGGATCTTATTTGTCCACATTCCCCTCAGTGCTACCCAGGATGGGGCAAAGGGCAGGTCCTTAACAAACCCTCGGGAACCGATGACAGGTTGATTAAAGAGATTTTTCCAAAGCAGTGGCCACATCTAATTTTGGAGAGTTGCACCTCGGGTGTGGCCTGGGAGAGAGGATCTGTAAGGCTTCCAGGCTGCCTGAATGCGGGGCTCCCTCATTGGGGAAGAGAGCCTGGACCTCTGGACCTCAGAGGAGCAGGTCTTCTGGTTACCTGGGCACACCTAGGATACAACCCAGGTCCCGGGAAGGCCTCCCCAGTCTAGCCCCGGCCCATGTCTCCCGTGCTGACCCCTGCCTGCTCCCCTAAGTCGCTCTGTTGCTGACACCCTGGCATTCTTGCTATTCCTCAGACGTGCCAAGCCAGTCCTGCCTCAGGGTCTTTGCCAGGACCATTCCACTACCTGAAGTCTTCACTCTAGTCCTCTCCGCACTGCTTCTCAGACTACCCTGTCCAAAAACATCTCCCTCTTCCTTCTTTGCTATTTTTTTCATAACACTCATAACTTCTGGAAATTACATATGTCTGTTTTCCAGTTTATTTCTGTCTTCTTCATGAGACATGGAGCCCCTGAGGACTTTGCTTGCTCACTGCCTCAGCCCCGGGAACTCATGTGGGATGGTTCCTGACACATAGTTGGTGCTTCATAATAATTGCTCATATGGAAGGAAGGAAGGAAGGAAGGAAGGAAGGAAGGAAGGAAGGAAGGAAGGAAGGAAGGAAAAGAAGGAAGAAAGAAAGAATTCCTCCCTTTTAAACATATCAGATCATCCCATTGCTTCCCAGAAATGTGTGTCCTTGTGACTCACATCCAGGCACCAACACACACACTTTGGTTTAGAGAGAGCAAAGAGGAAAGGAAAGAAACATTCGTCCAACATGTACTATGCACTACTTTGCAAAGGAAACGGGCGCCTGGCAGCCACTGAACGATCGCCCCCATCTTATAGCCAAAGACATTGAGGCTTGCTCTCTTGCTTGTCCCCAGCACTTAGCATAGTGTTGGGCATGAGCATCCAGTGAATTGAACTGCACTGAATTGAACTGGTTCAAAAACAGCTTAAGGTCACTGAAGTGGGAAGTGTGATGCTAGAATTTGTCCTCAGTGCTGTCCAGTTCCAGCCAGTGCTGTGCCACCACCTTTGCACACATAGAAACTCCAGGGACACAACCTCGTTAATATCCACTTTCGAGGGCAGGCCCTGGCCAGACACCCACCAACTGACAGCCTAGTCAGGGGCCATCCTGCACCGGAGACCGCCCTCTATATGCCCAAAGGCTCAGCGGGAGCAACCCCTCCACCCTGGGCTGACTACTCCCTTCCTGCTCCACCCCAGCCTGCTCCCAGACAGGCCACTTCCTGCCCTCCGCTATAAAGAGGGGAAGATGAGCGATGAATTTAATATACAACAAATGTCCTCTGATGCCAAATATGTATTTTTTTAATTAGCCACCGTTTTGAGCTATCTGTGTCAGCGCCTCTTCCCGACAAGACTTGTGAGGGAGATGACATCGCAGAATGTTCCTGAGCTGGAAGGAACCTGAACGAACACCTGAAGCAGGAACCAGCGAACTGTTCCTGTGGAGTCGAATAGTAAGTCTTAGGCTTTCGGGCCAACAGATAAAATGGAGGATGTTGTGTAGGGACTTCCATGGAATTTTCCCCAAATATTTCAAACTGTAAAATAACTGTCCGCTGTCTAAAGTTTGCAAGCCCCTGACTTGAAAGCACTACTTCTTAACATGCGTTAATATTGCTGGACAAGCTTAAAACCCATGTTGGGGCCAACGCTCAGCGATTCTGATGTAGCAGGTCTAGGAGGGACCCCTGAGTTTGCTTCTTACTGGAGACAGATGCTGCCGCCTGTCCACTGGCTGCATTTTGAGCAGTGCGTATATTCAAAAACACCCATTTCATGGATGAGGGAACTGAGGCCCAGAGGAGTGATACGTCCAAAGTAACACCCCTGGGATCAGGTGGTGACATCTGTTCTGCCACTTCCCCGAGCTGTTTTGCCACAGAAAAGTCTTCTCCGTTTCCTGAACCCACTTAGTCCTCTTGTCCTTCTGAGCTTTTTACTCATTTTCCTCTCTCCCACTCCCACCCTCACAAATGCAATTTTCCCATCGAGATCCAGCTCAGACGTTGTCTCATCGAAAGCATTCTCCTCGTTACCGCCACGGTGCTCTGTACATACCTGTGTCTAATGGCTTGTCTATGAGTCTGTCTTTGAAGCTCTGGGCTGTATCTTAGTCTTCTTTATCTCTGACCCTTTTACAATGCCTGGCAAATAGGTATCACAGAAATACGCACTAAATAAAAGGACGAATGGATGGATGGATGGATGGATGGATGGGTGGGCGGGTAGACGGACAGGTGCATGGATTGGATGGATGGATGCATGGGTGGCTGAATGAATGAATGAATGAACACTTCATGATCTATCCCTTGGAGATCATTTCCATGGCAAAGTTGAGCCTTGACCCCAATTCTTCTAAAGCACCACCTAGAGTATATTCCACAGCTGACCAACATACCTAGCATGCAAACGGTAGCAGTTACGTGTTAATGAATGTGTGTTGAGTGTGCATTTATATGGCAGGCCTTGTACCAAGCACTCCTACCAACCCTCTCAATAGCTCGTTATTGGCCCCATCTTTCCTAACAAGAAAATGTATGCTGAGAGAGGCAGAGAAGCTTGCCTGAAGCCACACAGCGAACAGCATCCTGGCCCCTCTGATTCTGTGTCATACGGCCCCTCGCTCCTCCACCTGCACCAGCGTTCCTCACCCGCCAGGCCTCAACCCCAGCTCCGCTGGCCCCAGGCTGCGCTCACCTCCATCTGCATACGTCTCGGTGCCGTAGCCATCCTGCAGGCCATTGTTCCAAGTGCCCTCGTACTTGGCACCGCTGCTGCTGCTCTGCCGGGTTCCATAGCGTCCCTTAAAGCCGTGTGTCCACTCGCCCTTGTAGAGCCATCGTCCCTTTGTCTCTATGCCCAGCCCGTGCCGTTTGCCCTGGCTCCAGTATCCCTCGAAGGTGTTCCCGCTGGGCCAGGTGTAGACGCCCGCCACTTCAAAGCCGAAGTTCCAGGAGCCGGAGTATTCGCCCTGGCCCTTGGGGCCGGTGCACAGCCCGTGCCCGTGGGCCTTCCCATTCTCCCAGCCGCCGCAGTATGCCCCGCCATCGTCAAAGTCGAAGCGGCCCCCACTCATCTCATCATAGCCCCCGACAACCTGACTGTCCTCCAGCTTGGGGGAAGAGGGCGATGGGGGTGCCAGTGGCACTCTCCAAGCTTGCGCAGGGCTGGGCTCCCCACTCACCACCGCCGCACCCCAGCAGGGGGAAAGCTAGATGCCACCAGAGGCTGATTGAGCCCGGGAGCCAAGTCAGCACTGGGTCGGCTGGTCAGTGCCATGCCTGGGAGGCCCCCACTCAGGCAGCCAGAGGAAGGCTGCCAGCTAGGAAGGAAGTGGGCAGGAAAGTTTCAAAGCCTCCACAGAGCGTCCGAGTCTGGCTCCCATGGAGTCAAAGGAAAAACACTGTGATTCCTTTAAGCAGCACAGTGAAAGGGTAGGTGGAGGGATCGGGCTCAGAGAGGGGAAATTCCCCTCGGTGGCAGCCCCAGCCCCCCAGGCTGAATTCCTGCAGCCTGCTGGCCCCCTTCTCCTCCACCCCGTGGGTGTGCGGGGCTGTCGATCTCCCCGCTGCTGCCCCGCCCCTCTCCAATCCTGCCCTCCTCCCGGGACAGAAAGGTCAGTGTTGCCCTAACAAGGCCATTGGATCTCAGAAGCTGCTCCCAAAATAACCCCCTGGCCAGCCCAGCCTCCTTCAAAGCGGGAGGGGTGTTTCGCATGGGGCTGGTGCTTCAGACCCTGGGAGTGGCTGGAGGGATGAGGAAGAGAAGCTGAGAACAAAGTGTAGGCAGCTGGGACAATCTGGTGGCATTTCTCCCCCTGGGCAAGAGCTCTCTTCCACCTTCAGGGTTCCCTGGGTCTGGGGGAAGGCAGGGGCCGGGGAAGGGGGAAGGGGCGGGAAGGGAAGACTAGCAGAAGACCCAGTCCTGGCTCCCTTAAAATCTCCCAGGGCAAGTCTCAGCCCCACCGCCACTCACATGCCCTCACGGGCCCTGGGGCTACTGCACCACTGCCAACCCCCCAAAAAGGAATCTGGTGACCTAAAGAGAAAGGAATGGGGCCTGGTTTTACATACGCTTTTGAAAGCAGAAGAGGGAACTCAGGAAGAGAGGTGGGGTTCTGGAAACAGAGTCTGGAGATTCAGCAAATCTGAGTGCAGTGCTCAGGAGCAACCCCAAATTCCTTCCACCCCGGAACCCTGAGAAAACCCTGGGAAGATCCTTGCGCAAAGGGCACTGATCAATCGCCTCCTTTCTCTGTCCCACAAAGGGAGGTGCCTCCTCTGAAGGGCGAGGAGTCTGTCCTCTATCTCTGAGACACAGGTTGCCCGTTGTGTTGGAATGAGTTTGTCTCAGGAACACGCAAGGATCATGATTTTTTTATTTTTTATTTTTAATTCTTTCCAAGCTCTCTTGAGCTCTGGTGTCCAAAGAGCCAGTGAGACACAGGCTTCATAAAGCTCCAGGGGCAGGGGCAGGAGCAAAGGGTCCGGGTGCGTTCCCAGCACTCAGGTTCCCACCAGGCTGCAGTGGGAAGGACAAATAAAGCTCTAAAACCCGCAGCTGTGGCCAGGGCTAGTGACTGGAAATCCCAGCGGAGCCCGGGGTTCACAGGAGCATGGAGTAATCAGAAAGGTAGGACCCACTAAGAACAGGAAGTTCTGTGTGTGTGCGTGTGTGTGTGTGTACGGGGGAGGATAGAAACCACTAAAAAAGCAAGCCCAGGAAGCCCTTGAGAACAGAAGGCTATATCATCTGACTTCAAACTTACACCCAAATTGCATGATGACTGAGGCCTCGTAAAATCCCTGAAGTTTTGTTTTGCTTCAGAAATGGATAGGAAATGCCCTCTCCCTTCCTCACAGCTCATTCCTGGTTCCTCAGATTTGGTACCTTCCTCCACTCACAGCCCCCTGCCTAAAAGGGCCCCTTCTGTGTCCCTGTTTCACCCCCGAGTAGAAACACCCAGCCTCTGTGCTCCCACTGGCTGTTTGCCAAGCTGACAGGCAGCAAATCACAGTAGGTAGTGACTACCTGCTGGGTTTTGTCTCTCCACCCAGCCAGGTTGACAGCCTGCGTGCATATTACACTGCTAATGCCTCAACGCTGCCCCCCCCCCCCCCGCCCCGGAGAGTTCTTCTTCTTCCACTTCCCGCCTAAGTCTGGAGAATCTTTGGAGAATCACGTATTTTGTTCTCAAGGGGAGGGGAAAGGGTATCTCAAACCGGAAGCCAAGGGGTTTCAGTTGCTCAAGTTCAGTACCCTTTTTGTAGTTAGATACTGAGCAAATCACCATAATCCTGTTCTAAAGGCTGGATGGCTGCTGTGTCCTAAAGAACTGTTCACCTGTGTAAATTTAGCCACTGTTCTTCCTTATAGCTCCCTACAGTGGTTCCCTACCAAGGGCCTGTACACATAAGAGTCACCAGTAGAAACACCCCACCTGCTGAATTAGATTGTGGGGAAAGGCCCGGGTAGTGCATTGTTTTTGAAAGTTCAGATGAATCTGATTCTCAATCCTGGTTAAGAACCGCTGTATTTTGTCAAATGAAGAAATTGTTGCTTAATAATATTTATTCATGAATCTCCTTACTTGCCACAGGCTGTGTATGTTACCAAACTCAAGGGCTTCGCCACTTGGGGTACTCTATTAAAAAATGAGATGTGGTTGTCCCAAGGTAGTTTTATTTACTTGCAGCAGGTGAAGAAGATGGAGATTCATATCCAAAGCTCTGTCCCCTAGAAGGGAGACTTAGCCATCGCTTAGATACCCTGTTTGGTCAATTTCAAGTTGATTTCTTTTTCTTTTTTGGGAGGAGGGGGGTAGCTGGCTACTTTTATCCCTTTGAGTTCCTGTCAGCTCCTCCTGTTTACTGCTACCTCTGCAAAATACTGTGCTACACTTTAACATTTAGCAAGAGATAACATTTATGAAGGATGACCCAGACCTTGAGGCCCTTGCCCTATCTAATAGGTAGGGTAGGTAGTTATGGAGTTGAATGTGTTCAAATCCCGGTACTGCCCCTTACATGCTGTGTGAACTTGGACCAGTTGTTACTTTCTCTGAGCCACAAATTCTTCATCTGCAAAAGTACCTCTTGCAAAGGATTATTAGTATTCAGGACAACAGTATCTACCTTTTATGGCTGGGCGATTACATGAGTTAATGCTATAAAAAAGGGCTTAGTACATAAAACACCTAATACATGTTAGCTTTATTATTAATATTATCTTCACGTAAGTTACTTTTCAAACTATCATGCTTAATAAAATAGTCACCAAAGTGGGAAGAGATCTCTCTAAATTTTAAGTTCTTTGACACTGAAGTACTCCTCACTCTTTGCAGAATGTGTTTACTCAATGTTACTCTTGTGGTTTTTCATTTTTTAAACTGATAAACTATGTTATTGTTAAAGGACACTTTGATTTGTTAACAGTTTAAATTCTTTGTCAAATTCGCTACTGGCCTTCCGGTCGCCAGTGAGGAGCTTCTGGGCTTGCCCTCACTTTTGGCCCCACCCTGTAAACCAGTGTGGCTCGGGAAAAGGGAGACCTCTCATGGCCATACGTGCATTACAACCGATATTCCTTCGCAAAACCAAGTTCTTTCCAGAAATGGAATTTACTAAACTTTGGAGTGAATTTTAAACTGTGTTGAAAAGTCTCTATCCCATTCCCCTTTTCTCCAGGTCTTTTCTTGCTCCATGGTTCTTTGGTCAGATGGAGCAATCACTTGCTTCCTATGTTTCCTTCTCAAATTCCCAAGTGTAACTGCTTCCTAGGGAGCCTGGAGAGAAAGGAACTGAAAATCCAGAACAGAGAGAACTGCACAGAGAAACCACTTGCGTTCTCCTCAGCATTGAAGACTCAGCTGAAGAAGCCTCACCTCCCCAGACAAGATTCCTGTCCGGTTAGGTGGCTTCCCACACGCTGGCTCCTCCCTTCAGCGAGGAGGTGTTTCAAGCAAGGATTATCTTCATTCTAAAACAATGCATGAACACCAACTCTGTGCCTGCACATAGCGGTGTCCCTCTTCTCTCCTCTGCGGTGCTTGGCAGCGGGCAGCTTCCTTCTCGTAGTGCTTTTTGGTCTGACTTCTGCAACTCTTCTCTTGGTTCTGCTCCTGCTCCTCCTGCTGCGTCTTTTGCTGGTTCCTCTTCATTCTCCTTCCTTGAGAATGTCCCAGAGCTTGGTCCTTGGACCAGTTCTTCGTCTACATTCACTTCCTTATGTGATCTTCCTTCAGTCTCATAGTTTGAATACCCATATACTACTGGCTCCTGAAACTGTATCTCTAGCCTGTACCTCTCTCCTATATCCAACCACCAACTCGACTTCTCTACAAGTTGTATGCATTTCAGGCCTGATGAGATCAAAGCCAAGTTCCCAATTTCCCCTCCCAGATCTGCTCCTGCAGCCAGCTCCCAGCTCCAATTAAAACCATAGGAGTCATCTTTAATTCCAATCTCTCTCACACTGTCTGTCTATCAGCAAATCCCTTCAGCTCTGCCTTCAAAATAATTTCAGAGCACACCTCTGCATTGCTGCCAAGTGTCCAAGCCAGTAGAACTCCTGCCTGATTACTGCAATAGCCTCCTAAGGGCCCTCCTTGCTTCCCCCTCCCCTGGTCCCCTTAGTTCATACAGCTAGTGTTCTTTCAAAAGGCTAAGTCTGACATTACGTCTCTTCCCCTCCAACCTCACCCCAAAATGGTTCCCTATCTCCTTAGGAGTCAAAGCCTTTAAAATGACCTACAAGGCCCTCCATGATCTGTCCCTGCCCTAACCTTCCTTGACCTCGCCTGCTCAGGCCACAGCTATCCTTGCTGTTCCTTCTGCCATGACTGCTGTTCCCCAAATACCCACATGGCTCACCTCATTTTGTTCAGGTCTCAGCTCAAATGTCACCTTGTCACAGAGGCTTATCTGATCACCCCAAATAGCAGCCCTTCCCCCTGCCCAGCCCTTACTGTCCCCCAGTCCTCCTCTACCTGTGGCTCTTTCTCTGAAGAGTAAGTGGAAGGATACTGTTCCACTTACTGTCCTGTTCTCCGCACCTAATACAGTGTTTCTGGTGTGTAGTATAGGCACTTGATAAATGTTGAATAAATGAATAAATGTTCAATGTATAATGACATGAAAGCACATGTCAGGATGCTACTCTTCCAAACATGAGGAAAAATTCCTCAATCCATGATCTGAATCCGTGTTCCAAGATGCTTCAGAGAAAGGTTAGTTCAGTAAATTGCACTCATAAAAGGTGGAATGTCCCAGTGAGGGACTTGCTAAAATTGGCCCAACTGGGTCTGAAGAGAGTAATTTTTAGCTTTAAGATTCGTGTTTGGAGGAAGATATTGAGATGTAAATACTTACCACTCATTCCTGTGAATCTGGAACGTCAAAGCTTTCATCCAAGTTTGGATTTCCTCAGCAGGTTGCTCAGCCATTGGAACTTTGTCATTTTCAATCCTGATGCACCCTCTTCATAACAATTTTGTATGAAAAGAATGTGCATCATTATTTCATGACTGTTCTGTTCATGTACAGAACTAAGCAAATC